TAAATACTTACTAGTGTTGATTTCGCCTCGGCTGCTCCTTACTAAAGGGTTGTCAACAATTTCAACGAGATCCAAAGGGAGGCAAAATCGTCTCTTTGGGTATAATCGGTGTGAATCGTCGGTTTTCGAGAGGAAAACAGAGGGCAAGACAGTCCCTCGATCGAGCGTTAAACGAGCGTTCAATCGAGCAAAACGGACGGTTCGCTCGGTCAGAAAAAGAGACGGGCTTTAATTCGTTCCGGGCGTGCACGCGTTTAGGCGCGAGCAGCCGAAGCGTGCCGCGCCTGAACGATGCTTATCCGCGTCGAAAACCCCCTTGTTAAATAACTGTATTGGTGAATCGAGCCGTTTCTTCGCGAGGCCAAAGATCAAGTAAAATAAACGCGGTGAATGGAAAAAAATTGAAAAATCGAGGAATTGATTGTTCGATTGATGCTGCTGGATAACAGAAAAAAAGATCACTAAGTTTATATGGAGAATTTAAATTGTGGTAATGTTAACATTATGGTATGGATAAAAATAATGCGAGATGTTCATGTTTTAGAACATGATAGTTTATAATATGATGATAGTAGTAAGCAATATAATATTATGTATTATGTTGTAATATTAATGCTTTACAATGCAGATAGAAGAATTATGAAAACTTTTTAAAAGTTTGGATATTATACAATACATAACAGTATTAATATCTTATATTTAATAGTTAAAGAAGAATCTATAAATATTATGTACAAGTAGTATTAAAGGATTAAAAGATAAAAAGAAAAGAATCTACTAACTAATAATAAGGATATAAGATTTCTAATTAATATTTAGAAATAATATTAAAGTAGTTGATGATGATTATAGAATTTGATTCATGGTGTACTATCAGTATTGACACTACATTTTATTATATTGTAATTTATAATACCGCTATTGCATTACTTAAATACTGTATTAACAATTGTATAAAGTTACAATACTCCTACTCTATAATACAATGTATTACATTCAATAAAATCTGATTGAAAAGTATCGTTTCTCGACTAATGGAATAGTCGTTCACATTCTAAAAAATTCTCACGCTTTCGTTATCCCAAAATCTCTTGTTCCGCATTTTCATCGTGGAACGAATATAGCCGCGTACGTATCCAGTCTCTGGTTATATAGTTATTTTTACGTAATTACGGGACATCGATAGAGAACTCGTGCCGATAACGAGTCGAGTGCCTCGATTCAACCAGAAACAAGGCCCTCTCTTCTGTTTTCGTCGCTTTCACCCTCTCGACCTCGTGTATCGACCACCCTCACGTATCAAGGCCAAACTTGAAACAATGCGGCCGTTGAAGTCGGTCGAAGCTTTTATTGGACGTCGAACGAGCCAAAACCTGGCAAAACCTGATGGCGCACACGACGAAGAGAGGGAAAGAGTCGCGGCTTGACTCGAATTCGAGATGTTCGAAGGCTTATTAAGGCCAAGTGCCATTCGGTGCAACGACTTCCTTCCAACCTTCCTAAAAACCCTCCTTTTGGATATCATCCGAGAATACGATAATTTCTCCACCTCGTGGAATTTTTAATCTCGATATACTTGATTAGAAGGGATTTTTAAGTGGATTTTTTTTTAAGGATGGTTCCTTCGTTTGGAAAAGAAGGTGCGAGTATTATGTTGAATAGAAGTTATTTTACTGCGAATTCTTTTCGCTATTAATTGGTAAATATTAATCAGTACTGTAATTAATATATAAATTTTTAATATCAATATAAGAATCAAAAATTTTTATATTATTTTAATAATAAGTAATATCTTTTCTTCTCTTTTTAATTCTTCTATAATTCAAATGATGTAATTGAAATGAGGAAAAAATTTAATATAAGATATATTTCTCAAATTCAAATTTAAAAAATGTGACATTTTTTCATATGTATCGATCCAATATATTACTATACATCATTTTCATTATCTTTTTTATATTTAATTTCATAATTTGCAATACTTGATCTTATGATTACATTATTGCATTATTTATTAATCCTTACAAATACATAAGAATATTTTAATCAAATCTTTTAAAACTTTTTAAATCTTCGAGACCATTATTAAAAATAAATCCTTTTTCAAAATGGATAATCTAAAACCATTTTTCATTTTCTTTTCTTCTCACTTTCTTCTCAATCTTTTCAAAGAAAGGAATAAAAAATTTATCCTACATGTAAAAAGAAACCTGTGAAACATCCGTTTCTTCCAATTCGAATCTCTTTTGTACCCGGTTATTACGTATACTTTAATTAACAGAAAACACAAATATCCTCTTTCAATTCATTTCTTCCGCCAAAAAGGACGAATATCCTTCCCCTCCCCTTCTCTGTCCTTCTATTTACCAAAGCCCGTATTACTTTCAATTAAATTGTCCACGAATCTCATTAAACTCGGAGCAAACTTTCTTCTCCCTTTCTTCGTTCTGTCCACGACGTACCAAAAGTTCTTTCATCCATCCTTTTTATACCACACTACCTCTTCCGTCTTCTCCACTGACTTTCACGAATTAAATGCGTGCACATTCCTCGTTGACGGATGTCGTACGTCCTTGGCGAACTTACGACCTCTCGGAATTGATAAGCTTCATCGAGAAGAAAGCTCCACCCCTTTTATCCGAATGAAGAGAAAACGTCCTTCTCTTTCCTCCCTTTCATTCTTTCCCTCTATTCTTCCTCTTCCACGGACTACCAATTTGTCCTCGCCACTCGACGTCGCGATGCTCGCCTTTTTTTTTCCTCCTCCCCTCCCCGTGGCCCTTTTCCATACTCATTTAGCCCCTTTCGTCCTACGACGCTCGTTTAAACGGAGAGGAGATCCTGAAGGATCCTCCTAAAGACCTGCTGGCTCCGACTCTTCAAACGACGCGAATTAGCATGCAGTCACGTTTGTTCCTCCTTCGTAACTAGAATTTTATAAAAATAATTATCGCTAAGATTGCGAGGAATTTTTTTAGTTCGTCTATTCGTTTATGATTTTTGTTGCTTTTGTTATTATCCGATAGTAATTGATGCATAAAAACGAAATACAAAAGTTTGGAAATTTAATTGTATTATATTAATTTGAATGTTATTTAACCTGATATGGTTCCTTATGTTCATCGAATTTTGGAACAATAATTTGTAATTTCTTAAAAAATTTTTATCATATATATTTTGATAGTGGTAATCCAAGTAATAGTCACATAATTGATTTTCAAATTCATTATTGCGAAAATAATATATCTATTCTTATTTATCTTTTTAACATAATCTAATCAGGATATTAATATAATCTTATAGTTAACTTGAGCTAAACATATAGTATGCTGAAATTATTAAATTTTAAATAATGTTTAAATCAATTCTTAAACTTAAAACTTTATTCAATTATTTTGATACTTTATCCAATATTATTAAAGAATATACCAAAAAGTTTAAAAAAGTAATATGTCAAAGCTATATTTAAACTTATTTTTATATATATATATAATATCTATTTGTATCCTTGGATGAAATTATATCATCATGTTCATGTATTCATTATTCCAAATATTATTTCAAAGAGATAAAAATTATATTTAATTATAATTTTTTATTTTAATTTATAATAAAGAATAAATAACTATAATAGAAATATAATAAAAAATTATAGTACATATACAGTAAAAAACAAATGAAACAGTATTTCTAACATATATTGTGGAAAAATTTAAAGTGATTAATTTATTATATCACTTTTTGTTCCTTTCCTTAAGAGTGAACTAATTTATTTTATTATAAATCTTAAATTAATCTTGGAAAGTTAAGAAAGAAGACTCTGTGAAAGAATATAAATTATATATAATAGAAATTTATCACTTATTTTTATAATCAAAATGATAATGAATTAATAGCAAAATTTACAAATTACAAACATTAATAAACCTTTTTCAAATATAATAATAAATATGGCATAAATATTTGTTTGATAACAAACTCTTTTTCATATTTTTTTTTCAAAAAAAAAAAAACACAAATCAATGAAATAGATTTATTAAATTATTTTTCTATGATTTAAAAAAAAGATATTATATTATAATATACAATTAAAAAAGAAATTGAAAATACCTCTCTGACATATCATCGAATTTTCGAACAAATCTGCTTTTATGAAATTCCAGCCTCTGTTTGTACATTACACCTCGCATTCCGCATCGTTCAACAATAAATTAAACAAATTAAGCAGATACGAGTGGAATCCTACAATATAGCTGGATAATTGATTCGATTAATCCGATCGTCGATTTTGAAAAACAATTCGCCTACGAGTCGTTTTAACTCCTCTCATAAATTATCGTTATCGATACGCCTTCATTAGATGGATTAAAATTAATTTAAAAATGCGCAAAGAAATGCGTCATTAATTATTCATTAACGGGGAAATTAAAGTTAGAGGGATAAAGTCAAAAAACAATTGGCTATGTTTTGACCTGAAAAGAAGATTGAATATTTTATAAAGATATTTTTATGAAATATTTAAATATTAAAATCTGAATTTTTAGCACGTAATCAATAATATTGTCAATATATATATATATATATATAGTTATAAAAAAAATTATCTAAAAGAAATTGAGGAAAAATATTGTGATAAAATAGTAATTAAAATATTATTGATCGCGTGCTGCTCCCTTAATATAGTTAAAAGATTCAAATATTTAATTAATATATAAAAAATATATATTACATTATGTAATTTTTCTGAAAAAAAATTAATCAAAATTAATTAATTAGAAATAGCAATTAATTAGAAAGCGACTAAAACTAATCGAAAAAATTTATTGTAAAAATTGTTTGAGAAATTATATAGTATAATACATTATTTTAGACGTATTGTAATGTATAATTTTAGATGGATCTTAATAAGAAAGATTTCAAGATCAATTTTCTTAAATGCTACTATACATAACGAAATTTTATAATAGCATTTATTAGAACAAATTCAGACGATAAAAAGGTCATAAATTGTGTGAAATTCTTAAGAATTAATGAAATAAGAAAAGTAAAGAAGAATGCTGTTTTCACTTTGTAAATATATACGTAGTAAGGGAAATAAAGAATATTTCTTCTGCAAACATAAAGGAAATAAGGAAATTTCACAAATATCTAGAAAATAAGGAAACCGTAGAATATTTTTATTTCAAATATTTGGAACTCGAATAAGTGTGGAATATTTTTGCTACAAATATCAACAAGATTCTACAAAAGTCTATGAATATTTAAAAATATTCTTCTCAATTTGTTCGCGAGTATTTCGAAAACAAACTCCATCTCTGCCATATGAAAAAGCTTTCGCTCCTGCATTATTATTATATTCCAGGTTGCGCACAGGGGATTGAACTTTCATCAAAAGATACTCCATTACTCCGTGGCCTCATCTAAGAAACCATAAAATTTATAATATATCCAACGAACGCTTCTATCGTGTCACGAATCCGGAAAATTTACACTTCTTTGCTTATCCCTGAACCAATTTCCTTATCAACAAAATCACAATTTCTCCTAGAAAAACCACGATCAATATTTTCAGATTAAGTAAAATATATTGGTTGATTAATTTTTACAAACAAATTTTTCTTCCATTTTTCAATTATTGAAATTTGAAAAATTATTATTACAAATCAAAATTATTATTACATAAAATTACAATTTTTTTCTAAGAAATCAATAAGAAAATCGCATAAACAAACCTATAAAATAAGTTCATTAGTTAATTTCTGTAAACAAATTTTTCTTCTATTTCCTTTTAATCTGATTCAATTTGAATAAATAAATTAATAATTTGTAAAAACAATTGATAATTTTTATTTTTTGTATGACGAATCATTCTCTAAAAATGATTTCTTGTTAGCTCTATCCCTCTAGTTTTCTATTACTTTTTAATAAGAAATAAGAATTATTTAGCTTGATATCTCATTCTCTAATTTCAATATTTGAAAATAGAAAAAATACGAGCTACGAAACATAAAAAATAGATAACAATTTGAATAAATTATTTTAAATATAATAATAATAATAACTTTAGTATTAAAATCAAGGTCTTTCGCATATAACAACATATAATTGTCAGTATTAAAGTTTACTCTAGAAATTTTAACATCAAGTAATGTTGGAAAATTAAAAAGAAAAACGAATTACATGATATATATCGTTAAGAATCAAAATTTGAAGAATAATTAAATACTCTAAAGAGTATGCAAAATGGTTTCAAAGAAAAGGATCTAAGTCGAATATAGAATGGATCCTTTTTTACGTGTGGCCGCAGACGATGTAGGGAAATATTTGCCTAATTCGTCGCTTAGCATGCAGAGAAGCTGAGTCGGACAGGGTGAACTTTCTTCGTGGTTCAATTCTCCTTTTTTTCCTTCCCTCAATCTTTTCAGACAGTTTTTCTTTTCGTTCCCTCTTTTTGGAGGAATTCTTTAACACAAGGGTGCATATTGGGATAAGGATAGAATTAATTTGATAACTTTTTGTATGTATTTTTAAATTTCACTTGATCTTCATACCTTGATAACTTTTGTAGATTTATTACAGAATAATGGCTTAAATAAAAATTAAATATTGTTATTTTAAGTTGATAAAAAAAATTTAATGTTTTACTATTTATATTTATATCTTGTTAAGTTCATATATAATATCACGTAAAATTTTGATTAAGTTTAATTAAATTAAGTTAAATTAAATTAAAATAATTTTTAACTTTAACTCAACAATAATAATTCAAAATTAATATTAAATATTGAACATAAATATATATAAATATTTAATACTAATAGATGATAATAGATATTATAATTATTAAGTATTAGTTTTTAAATATAAATTTTGACAATAGTTATTAAAACATTACAAATATAATTATAAATTAATTAATAATAATTATAAATTAAAATCCATGAACTATTTTATTCATTAAAGACTTTCAAAATCATATAACAAATTCTTATGGAAATTGCAAATTTTCATTCTTATACAAATGAAGTTTTCTTCTAGAAGAATAACTAAAATTGTATTCCAACAAATGAATAAAATTTATAGCAAGTACTTACATACAAATAGAATGCAACGTAATAAATGAAGGAAGTAGTCTAGAACCAAAAGATGAAGAGAATCTCTTCCTTTTCCTTCTCTTTGTTTTATCCCTTATTCCTCTCGAATTAAGACTTCGTTCCTCTTTCGAATTTTCGTGGATAATACAACAAGACGCACAGATCCTTTCCTTTTCCTCTCTCTCTCCAAGCTCATTAGCATAATTCCCTTTAACGTTAAGGCTTCAAGTTAGATATTCATTAGCGTAATTCTCCTTAATGTTTAGTGGGCTAATGTCCCTCTTCAGCAAGAAAAATCTCGGTCTCTCGACACATGATCTTCAAGGAAGCGTATTAACGTCCTATTTTAAGATTGAAATCAAAATAAATCTCTCTAATCATAGTTAATAACAGCTAAAATTTTCAGATATGTAAGCCATATCCTTTGGGAAATGGAGAAGCCTATCCTTTAAAAAAACCTTTTGAATTAAGCAAAAAGATTTACATTTGAAAATGTCTGAGCAATTAAAACTGAAGGAAAAATCATTATAATCTCAGAGACTGATAAAATCTTTGATAAATATACTTCCAATTTTCTAAATTTCTAATTTTATTAATTTCTTAATTTATAAATTTATAAATTTATTATAATTTTCTATAAAGAATTTTAATCTTTGAAAACACTAAGAATTTCTTATTATCCAGATTACATCATTATCATAATCTTTTCATAAAATCTCCTGAAAAAAATAATTTCCTAACTTCACCCCAATTTTTCAACAAAAATTTTCATTTTCAATTTTTCTTTTAAAAACAATTCATCTTCTATTCTCTCATCAATCATTATCTAAACGAGATCAATTTTTCTTTATCTTATATATTATCTTAGAAAACATTTCCATCATTATTATACCATTTTTAATCTATTCATTATAAAAGATTAAAACATTTCAGTTTAAAACATATTTGATTATTTCCTCCATCACAACGGATCTGTAGTATTACGACCAATATAATTATAATGATAATTGCTTGAACACGTGATGTATACTCATACTTTATGCGTTTTATGCATATCTCCAGAAGCTCATTAGCAAAATGAAGATGCGATTGCGAGCCTAGCTTGCGTTTCACGCGGTCTGTTTGCTTTTTCTCTGCGTCTCGTCTCTTCTTTCTTTTCCTGTCTAACTATTACACTTTCCATCTCCTATCTTGTTCTTTTTTTTCTAACGCATCACGTCTTCTCTGCAACTCGTCAGGCGGATTTTCTGGATTCCCTCGGGATTTCGCTGCTCCTTTCTCTCCTAACTTTTGCTTCCTGACTCTTCTCTATGTTCTTAAACTGGTATTTCTTTCCTCGATGAAAAGTGCCATATCTCTCTCTTTGTCTGAAACACAATGGAAGCAACTTTATAACATTTAGAATTATTGTATTATTTTTCGAAAGATTACCTAAAAGTTTAAAGTCGGAAAATAACTCTTTGAAATAAACTTAAACTGTGAGAAAAGTATCAATGAAAAGAAATTAAAAAGAAGAATATTAACTCTAAAATTTCTAAATCTTGAATTTAAAAATCTAAATCTAAATCGAATTTACATTTTTTCTTACTAATTTATTAAATGAAAGTTTTTTTAAAAATTTCATAATATTTGAAAACTTTTATTTCTAAAAGTCAGAAAAATAAAATATCACACTAAATATTTCCTCTTAATAAAAATATAATTTTTATATTTATTATTAGTTTATCTTAGCTTAATGTATCTACTTTTCAATTAACAGTTAAACATTTCATCTTAATATATAAAATTTATTTTAAAATATCATATATCATATTAACATTTTTCACCTCTAATAATAGAATGATTTTTTTTTTATACCTTCCTTATTATGCAAACTTTTGTCTAACTCTATTTTTTCTTTAATTCCTTCCTTCCGTTACCCTAAATCTTTCAACTTCTCAACCCCTTTCCTTAATCTCTAGAGTGCAGCTGGATTTTTCCGTGCAGCAGTCGTTTCCCGTCTCCGCACTTTCTTCCTTTTAAAGTTCACAGTCTCACCAAGTGTTCACAGCTAGCTGATTTTTCTTGATTTTTCCGTTTTCTCTAAGGATTTCGGTTTCTCTCGATTTCTTCCATTTATTTTTATTATCATCTTTATCTCTTACTATTCTACTATTTTTTTTTCTTTTCTGAGAATATCTTTCAATAGTTTTATAATGTCTCTGATAATTTTTTCATCATCTTTTTTCATATAAATTTCGGCCTTGGCTTCTTTACAACAAAATTTTCTTTTTCTTCGTAGATATTTTAATCTTGACTCGGTTTTCATTTCAGCTACTCAATATCTCGAGCATTTTGCTATCAAACGTATAGTCTCAGCAGTTTTTGGTCATTTTTTATCATGTCACGTTTGAAATTACGAGATAAATCATCCGACATTCTTTGGAATGTTGTATATATATTGTATATTTTTTATTGAAGTTAGTTATAAAAACTACTACAATCTTTTCTGAAATTTTAAAATTGTAAATTATTAAAAACTAAGTAAAACATATTTTTATATCAATAATAAAATTTATTAATTTATTAATTCAAATTTAGTAAATTCAAAATGATTTATCATTATACAATATTTATTTATATTATATTTATCATAAAATATATTTTAAATAAAATTTTTCGATAAACTTATTAAACGGAAATATTGAATTATGGTTATTTTTTATATCTTTTTATTACATTAATTAATAAATATTAGTTTAATTAAATTTTTCCAAATTTTAAAGTATTACCGTTTTATTATATTACATAAGTATATATTTACTTTTTCTTTTTTATTCGATTTTTAACTCTGAAAGAATATCTTTTTTTACATCGCGGTTGATAACCTCTTATATCGATTTTCGTTTCGTCATCTATCTATCTCTGTCTTCGGCTCTTTGTCGCCAAACAATCCCGATCTTTTTTCTCCTCACCCCTTTTCATTTACTTGAATTATTTCTACGACATCCTTTGATGCCAACAGGATGTCCAGTGACAAAAGTTGTTTAGCTATGTTCGAATTTTACAGATGGAACTTGCAGAAAAAGAGTAAAATTTTCACAAATGCAGCATTTCCCTGTTGAAATATTTCATGATCATATTATTACAAGATTTTCTAATTATGAAATAAAATTAATCAAGCACCGCAATGATTTGTATATTTCATAATCACTTCAAAATTATAAAAAAAATTTCTTAACCTCTCTTATTATATAACATATATAACATGAATATTTGCTATCAATTCTATATAATTAGATGTAATTAATACTAATTGAATATATTTTTCATGTATATAGAGACAATTTCTTTGATCATGATGATTATCGTTACTGAAATAACAACAATCTACTAAAAATAAAAGAAATTTCTGTAATGTTATTCACGCCATTCTTGTCACTAACCTTCATTGTCGTCTCTGATTATTTACCATTGCAACAAATCCATTATTAGCAGTAATATATCCATGCACATGAAAGCAATTTAATAAGTTACATAGCACAAACTCGCCGCGTTGTTAAACGTTGTGACCCCAGTTTAAAGCAGGACGAAATTAACCGACATGAAATTGTATTTCATGTTGAACAGGCTAATTTCGTGAAATGGAAATGATGGCGTCTTTATACTTCAGTTATAGCCGATGAAGAGAGAGGGACGATAGTATCGCGTTGTGCATTTGACATCTTACTTTACCAACATGTCAAGATACAAAACAATAATTTATGCGCCTATTTCGCACATTTCGACCAATTTGTTCAATTTCGAATAGAAATCAAATAAAAAAAAACAGCGAAGTTATGCCTCTCATCATTATTCATTGTTAATTGAATTGAGTTGATTCAATCAAATGATTTTAAATGTTAATTAATGTCATTAATAAAACAATAAGCATGTTATTATAAAACAATGAAATAATCATCAAGGAAAAATAATTAATACAATTGATTCTCGGTCGATAAAAATATCATATTATAGTAGCATCTTATTGAAATTTACATTGAAATAAATTTTAATTAATTTAAATTTCATGAAAATAAAATTTTAATACTAATTCTATAATGATAAACATAGAATTGCAAGTAATATTAAAGATTTCTTTTACTGCTAAAAGAAAAACTATTATATAGGAAATTATCTAAAAAAAAAATGAAATATTTGAAGATTGAAGATTTTAAAAGATTTAAATAATTTATTTATCTATATTATTATTTATTTTATTTATATATGCAAAGATAAAAGCAAACATAACTTACCGTGAAATTTTCCATTGATACGATTTAGGTACAATCCATCGAGCGTGAAACAAAATTCAAAGCAAACCATTTAAAACTACAAACTTTCTTTTTCTTCTTTCATGCGAACACACTTATTATCTCATTTACCAATATTCTATTCGTTTTTCTTTTTAGTAGCTCTCTTTCATAATGCAGTATCCGTATTTACTTTGTTACGCAGTTAATGAACTGTTTATGCTCCCTTTATGAAGCCGGAGAACTGATCTCTCACGTACGGAGAACCGAATGAAATCTAATCGGTTGAAATTTCGTTCAGGAAGTTCGCTTCAAGGAACACATCATATACTCTATTTTATAAGTATGAATAAATCCTTTGTTTTTTCTAAATAAATCATGTCTATCAATAATCAGTTGATTTAATTAGTTGTATTAATAATCAGTTGATTGATATATATTATTCTTATTGTAGAAATTTTATAATTATTAACATTTAAACATGCCAACTGATTTCGTGTCATATTTTATAAAAAAAAAAATCACTTGAAATTATTAATTCTATTATCCTTGCTCTTAGTGGACACGTTTTTATATTTCGCTGATGCATTGATTATTGAGAAATAATAGGCATAATTTATTTTTATTTGACAACAATTATCAATCGATTAATTTGTTCAATTGGTAGATTTTTTATGTACATACAAAGATCAATTTCATTTCTATCTAAAAAAGTTGAAAATAGAGGTTATGTTTTTTGTCAGTAACATTTCCTTTCTCTTCTATTATGGCAGAAATTGCTACTTGCGGATGTTTGATTTATTTCTCTGTACAATATCAGTTTCACCGGAAATTCATCGTCTTGCTGTCTTTCAAACATCCGGTATTTTCTTCCCCTATGTAAACTATGTAAAATAAAACTGATGCGAGAATGTAACTGACATCGATGAATGTATAAGTAAGAAACGAATCTAAGAAAACGACACTTATCGTATTAAAATCCACGAATTCAAATTCAATATGAAAGATTTCAATTCTATTCAAATATATTGCATTGGTTGTAAGGATATGCCATATGAAGATATTGTATACGTATATGTAGTTGCGTGTTTTGACCGTGGATTTTCAATATCCTACAACAAAAGAATATCGAGCTGATCATTTTATCGTACGACTTATCGTATATCTCGAATCTTATTCTATATCGACTTTGAGAATTTTAATGCATTTGTATCATGTATTACATAAAAAAATAAAAAAAATGAAAATATGATAACAATTTGAAATAAACTATAATATAAAAGATCCAATGTTAAAAGAAATTTAGGATCATCGGTTTTCTAAAGCATTTTAAATTGATGTTTAATTTGCATAATATATATACAAAATATGGATCATTTATACAAAGAATTTGAATAAAACTATGTGATGCTACGGTCCTGGCCAGGTCCTCCCATTTTATATCTGTGAAGGAACTATATTGAATAGCCTGGAGCAGTGCCGTCTACAGGCTCGACCCTGTACTACGTCAGTGCAGTCACCACTTTCCTGAAAAGCGTATCGTATCTTATCTACGAAAAACTTCCCAATTTTTAACATCGAAATCAAAGATATTCACTATCAAGTTCATCTACAAACTCGTGAGTAATCTTATAATCCTATATTCATTTTGATTCTGATTAGTTTTTATCAGAACTTATTAATTATATTTACCGTGAAAATCGTTTAAAAAAGGCGGGACAAGTGGATCTTGAGAACCTTGACCTTAGCCTTTAGTCATTTGCATGCAAACGTAGCCGCATTGTTCGCTTTTCCAACCACGACAATAAGGTAGACGAGAGAAAAATAAATAAAAAAAAAAAAAAAAATAGCGTAATGCGGCAGAATGCGCGAAAGAGGTCGATAACATCGCGCGCCCGCGCAATTCTTGCGTTTCTTCCGCAGACATTGGCGAAAAAAGTCGAAGAGAAAGCGAATCTGTGCGTGTGGTCAGACGATGTAAAATATCATAATAGAAACATTCGTGAACAACTGTATCACCATAAATAAGCTTTCAAGTTGCTGCGTATAATATTATTTCGATGTGGTGAATAGCTGGCCCGGGACGAATTTTGTATTATCGATCAGCTGCGAGCGACACGTTTACCAATGTATCCGTACGCACTATTGCTTGCACCCGGTGCATTGGCCGCAGATATTACTCTTTTAAATTTTAAAAATAGTGCTAATGTCTGATAATATGGTGATTTAATATTAAATATTTATAGTATAATTAGAATTATTTTAAATGATTACTTCAGAAAATTTATTGATTTAAGATTTGATAATCAAGGTTAGTGTAACAATTTTTGTTTAAACTAGAATTATTGATTAAATTGATTTTATTTTCAATATCTCTATATAAATAATTTAATATCTAATTTAATATCTAATAATATTGATGAATGAATAAATTACATTATATATTTCTCTTCTTACAATTTTATGTCGAATAGAATAATCAGATAATTGATAACTTGTGAGTGACGACAAGCAACTTATAATTTGTAAAATTTATTTTTAAAATTTAATTTGTTTTATTGGAAATTTATTTTATGTAACAAATTATTGTTATGTAACAAAATATATTATTATTAATAACTTATAATATATAAAATTTTATTTATAAAACGATATGCCCACGTAATATGAAATAGTGTTTAATAATTTTTTAATAATTAGTTTTTTTTGTAATGATGCACATTTTTTATCATTTCATTATTTTTTTTCTACTAAAACTATACAATTATTAAAGAAGCTTTATATAAAGATTGCCATTGAATAATTAGAATTATTCGCAAAGATAAAAATTTTAAAAAATTTTAGTAATTATTAATATCATTATATAAATTGTATAATTTCGTTTTCTGTTATTAATTATTTTTGTTATTAATCATAATTAGACTTTCACACTTTTTCATTTTTGATAATATGTGCGTAATATATTAAACATATTAAATATAAAACATAAACTATTATTACCATATTCAATAAATATTAATTTAACAAATTTACAAATTTTAAATTAACAAGTTTTGGTTTTGGATTAAAATAATTAGATAAATTCACAAAACATACAAATATTCAACAAATATATATTCAATATATACAAATATATTCAACAAATATTCAACAAATGCTTTTTTCACTAGTGCAATAACTAACCTTTATAAACATAGGTACACCAGATGGCAGCTTTGCAGCAACGTGATTAGTTTCTTTTAGTAACGTTGAAATTTCGATATTTTCGAGAGTTTGATCGGTTGCTCGTTCCTATTTGATTGTACAACATGTATATAAACAGTGCATTCTATGTGCACACTTGTACCTCTCTTTCAATCGATTGTTCCCATACATGTCACTGTTTCCGAGAGATACTACAATTCAATAGACTATTTCGATTACTTCGAAAAAGAACTTTCCAATAGAAATTGATTCTTGTTCAATATTAGCTTAAATAAAAAATAAAATATAATTAAAGTTTTTTTTTAGTACAAGTAAAATCTTTCAGTTGTGCACATCTATTTTTAATTTAATGAAAAAATATTAATTGAAATAAATAAATTGAACGGATATTATGAATTAGAGAACAATTGCAATAATCAAATCATTTATTATTCTGGATTTCATTGCATATCATTCTAACATTCCAGTAACATTGATTAACCGGAAACTCTTGCTTGAAATTCCTTTGACATGTTTTGCAAATTTACTATATTAATCATTAAATTCGAGAAAATATTATTTTGTATAGTTTTTAATACAATTTTATATTAATTTATATTTCATTACTATCACATTATTTACTATGATTTTTGAATAATTCTTATTTATAAAAGTGTATTATAAATGGTAATAATAAAAACCATAAAAATTACACGTATGTTTTTATTTCTCTTAATAAGCAAGATACTATATTAAAAAACTATGTAAAAAGAAATAAAATAGTGTTTTCATAACATTATTGTTTTGTATGAAAACTCAATAGAAAAACATACGAGAATTAATGTTTTTCTATGTAAAACCATCATGCACATTTTCATTTTATTAATATTTCTTTATTTTTTTGCTGTTTCTTTTATCTCAAAATATAATTTAATTATTCTTCCAATATTATTTATAAAAATTATTATATTAAAAATATATAAAAAATATATGTGTAAAAAAAATATTAATCGATTCATTCTAGATTAAATTTTTTTATAAAATCACTTTTATAAAATTCTTATAAAATTCTATTCTCTTTATTTTAGAAAGATCAAAACGAAAAAGACAGGACAGCCGGAGGAAGTTCGACGGCATACAATTCCTTTCCGGACGATCTTTATTTGGACGACCAAGAATCTTTGGAGGGTTCTGGTCGAGGTGGCAGCGAAGGTCGCGACGATCTTGAAGCATCCGGAAGCGGTCTTGGTCCGGATGATGAGGACGGCGACGACGATCACGGTGAATATGTTTCACTTTATTAATTCTTAAGAAACAAAATAACAGCAATATAAATATTTAATATCAAAATTTTTTTATCAAAGAGAAAAAAATAAGATCATTAATCATTTATTCCATTTTTATTGTAAAAAGTACAATTAATATAATAACGTTAATAATCCAAGAAATATGAAAGAAGATTCTTTTTAATTTCTGCAATAGTTTTGCCACAATTTTGAAAAATTCGATATCGATAAACTACAGATCAAACTGGAACGCAATTATTCTCTATTGTGAGTATTTCAGTTTAAAGACAAAATAAAAAAAAAAAAAACAATTGGAGTATTTGGGCTACAAAACAATCGAGCATCAGCGGCGGTTTTTTTCAAAAAGCTACTCATCCATGTGGATTCCATCGACGATCGAAAAGCATGAGCAGAAATCAGCACGAAGAGTTCACGTCCCATCGTTTTGCTCAAAATTTTTTCAATAAAAGCGTAGCTCGCGGAATGCATTGTATGCGGCACACCAATGATGCACGTCATGCGATTTCCAGAAACGTTTCCTCTTTTTGTCTCCATTTTCAAAATTGCCAAGCTGGAAAACGCTTCACGTTTTATCGTTTTCCCCATTCAAACTTGATATCTCT